CTTTCCTGGGCTGTCACTCAGATCTCTCTTTTTTTAACATCTTTTTCCTATGCTCTTTGATGTTTTGCCAGACTTCTGCAATTAAACAATGCTCTTTTTTTTTCTCCTCACACAGTAATGAAGACCCATAGTTTTTTACTGATGTACGTCTACCTCTCAGCTGCTAGCCAGGCAACAAATTAAAATTCTCCAATACTCGTGACCACAAATTAGATCTGAATGCTCAACAGCTGCTAAAGCTTTTTGTTTGTTTGTTTCCAGAGTTGACAGACACAGACTATCCCTGCTGCTGGAGCTCTGTGAAGTGGCCGGATGAGTGAAAAATATGTTGTGGGTTTTTGTTGTTGTTGTTTTTTCCCCTTGCTAATTAAGCTGACTTGATATTGTAGCTAATTTGGCCTATTGCTATTGGGAACACAGATTTACTGACTTGAGCTTCTGGCTTTATTGGGCCCTTCTGAACTTTTGGGCCCAGATCTGGCAGAGCATAAGCCCAGTATAAAGTCATTTGCTTCAATGCAGTTTTACCAGCTGCTTCTAATTTTGTTGTAAAGAGCAGTTTCAGAAGTTGTTTGTTGTCCTCTCAATAGGAAATAGTATCTTGAATGTGTGGCCTTTCCTGAACACAAGAAGCCATTAGCCTATCAAATGTTTTGTTGGATTTTGTTGCAAAGGCTCACTTATTAAATTACTGTACCATTGTTCCTTTTGTTATAGTGCTGAATTATTCAATATTATCACCCACTGCCCTTCTTGTAAGAAGATCTCTTTCCCTATTAATTATTAAAAGGTGTACCTCCACTTTCTTAATCAATGCCAGTATTTCTTATTAAAGGACACGGCTCCTACAGTCCCACTTAGTACAGGATTACTTCTTCAGATTCGAGTGTGCATCCAACCATATCCAATGCAACTTGGTTTGTCCCCGCCTTGGACAATGATAAACTCTGTGGGGCACAGTTCAGCTTGGCTAGATAATCAGAGGGTTCAATTAAATAGAGCTATGACAAATGTAGCTGGGCTTTAGGTCTTTTCTCTCCCACACCTCTGATTCTGTTCACAACTTACAGTAGGAGCTTGGAATGATATTGTTTTGATTTAATACAAAACTTGCTTTTACAGCACTGAGCTGCACAAGTGCTCTAATTTCTGGTAGTGGCCAGAAGTACGTCTGTGCTCCTGTTCTTATCAGGCTGAAGAACTTGTATCATATTCTGGTTCTGGCTAGAACTAATTGTCTTTTTTTTTTTCTTTAGTGAATTATTTCAAATTGTCAGTTACAACGAGGCACTTTTGTAGTTGGAGATGAATCTTTCCTTCTCTGTAGGTAAAGCATAGATAGTGTTTACTTGATTTTTTTTTTATTTTTTATTTTTTTAAAGCTTAGTTATTTAAACAGCTGGTCCAAGTGAGAATCCTAAGTATGTCTCCTCGCCCTTTGTCTCTGTAGGGGACAAATTCTGCACTCCCATCTGTGACATTAATCCTCAAGCTACCAGACATAACCAAGAGCAGAATATGACTTTTCCTGTTCTTCCCCCACTTTTTCCGATGCCTATTCTCCGCTTCCTTGCACACTCTTTGTTCTCCTACCCTTTTTTCTTGCCTTTCAATGACACTGCTGGCAACAGGAGGAGCTACAAACAGTGTGAATTAGTTGTTCTTCCATGGGAAACTGTGATGGGGGGAGAGAACACTGGGCACTTGTGCTGCTGCTGGGGCAGCCCTGACGGACTGGGCAAAAGGAAGAGCTCCTAGAGGGAGAGAGGGGAGTGAAAATGCAGAGCTGCCACGGCTTGCTGCCAGCGTGCTTCTTGCAACTCAACAGAGCTTCAAGCAGAGACACTTTGGTTCTTCACTGTTCATTTCCATATAGACTGGTGATTTCAAGGAGGTTTTCTGCATGGGGCCTCCTGTGGAAACACTCAATTCAAACTGAGCATTTGGGCAAAATCTCTTCTGTATCAGTAGGCTGCAATCCCACATTATTGTTGCTCTTTTATTTTACTTATTATGTGCCTGAAATCTAAAGGCCTGTGTCACTTCTGAGTACAAATTTGAAATGTGGAGGCACAAGTATATACTAAGTTGTCTTGAAGTGTATACCGTTGGCTTAAAATTACGACATTGTGACACCTAATCTTGCTTTGTACTAGTACAGAGTACCTAAAACATTGTTTGCAGAAATTGATTTTTATCACTTTATTTTTCCCAGGTTTACAATGAGCAGTTGACAGCACTGAGCAGTTCCTTTCATTCTTTGTCTCACAGTCATTTTTCTTCCCTGTTGTTTGTATAAAGTCTCTCATGCACATCAAAATCAGGGGGGAGAAAAGCTGGGGTAAAGCAAGCCAGGTGTTTTCCAGAGCAGGAATGCCACATGCAGGATCTGTACTTTGTAATTAGTATCAATTGGCCTTTACTTTGACTTTCTCTCCTTCAATGTGTAAACAAAATACTTGTGAAAGTAGGAAAAAATACAGATAGTGGGACTAAATGCTGTGAACTGAGTTGCAAGACGATCAGGCTTGTTCAAAACTTGCTGATTCCATGAAAATTTGTAGGAAATCTGAAATGCACCTTGCACAATTTTCTTCTCTGCCTGCTTGTCTTGGTATTTCTGCTTGTTTTGTTGTGTGTCTTTTTTTGTTTGGTTCTGTGTGTGTGTGTTTATTTGGAACTTGGTTTTTGATTGTTTGTTTTTAAGTCTAGCATCAGGCTTTTTGCTTCCTTTAAGGCATTATAGGAAAACTCCAAATGATAGTCTTACAAACAATAATGTCGTATTTGTAGCTATGATGATGCAGCATCTAGAGAATTTCTCATTGTTCTTTTGTATATGCAAAAAGGTCCCATAGGATTGTTTTTAAAGCTTACTGCATCAGCCCAAAAACGAAGACAAGCATCTACAGTCTAAGTTTTATTTAAAATATTTATTGTACGCGGTTGGCATTTTTAAATGTTAGTGTTGAGGCAGATGGTGAATATGAACAAGGGGAGAGGGTCTCAGCTAGCTTATCATGGAGTATATAAAGGGCTCAAACTACCTTGGCACCTGACCACTAAAGCACATCCCTGTGCTTGGCACAGAAGTGTGTCTGAAGTTTGCTGATAGCTGCAGGGTCTGTGCTACAGTCAACGAAGTCTGTAAATCAAAATGACATTTACAGTCCGTGTATGATCAACTGCATCTCTCCATGGAAAGTAGAGGTTCCTGTATCAAGCCATTTCTTGTCACTAAAAAAGGAAGTCTGAGTCATCTTGGTCACCTGAACTACCTCAATTATTCTGCCAGGTCAATTAGTCACCCTGGTTACCAGTAAAGCAGCAGGAAGAATATATGGAGTCAATAAAGGGGACACTTGAAACCTTGTCTGCAGCAATATTTTTTTAAGAGCTAAATTCAGTGCAAATGTCCAGCGGCCATGCCCCAGCTATTTACCGTATTGTTTGTCATGAACTCACTGTGCCATGGTAAGTATTTGCCCACAGAAGTGAGTTTCTCTCTGCTTCCTGGAACAAAGTGGGTTTACCAGCAGCACTATTGTGCCTGTGCCATTCCACTCCCAGCCTTAAGGAAGCCCTTTCTGGCACCAGGCACTGAAGACAGCATAAGCAAGGTGTATCTATCTGTTCAGGGACTGTATGGCCATCATATGGGTGCCAGGTGTAGATGGACCAGGTGTTGGAACAGTGCTTTATGCTGATGTTCATTATGTTCAATTCTGGTGTATAGAATAAGCTTGCCTGTGTTGTATGGGATGAAACTTCTCTGTAGAGAAGAAAAAATATACCAAACTCTTTTGGACTTTTATTTATTTTTAGTGAATAAAACTCATTGTAAACAGAGAAAGGGGAAATTAGGACAGGAAAACATGCCATTTAAGTACAGAGGCTAGAGCAACCTGCAGCTAGGGTCTGAAAATAGCTCCTCCAGAAGCACAAAGATGTAGCAAATTGTCAGTTTAATAATTCTGACAAGCGGTTACAAATGACTAATGATCAAAGAACAATTCATTCATCTTTACTTTTAGAATGATAAATGCTGGATGTATTCTTTAAGAAACTTTCTGACCAAAATCAAAATGGCATAAAGCTCTTGAGTTAAGCCTTGAAAATTAAATCACTGTTAGAAAGCTACTTAGAATGGAGTCTCTTTTCAAGCAAAACTAGTGACAGGCAACTGTGAAGCCATTGTTCAGGACTGAGTCTTTTTTTAAAATCCCATGATCCACCATGCAGTGGGTGAAAATAACATTTGAGTATAACAATAGCTTGTCTACTAGTTAATTCAGTTGATACCCATTTCTTTTGTATTGTCCCATGAATAGTGCTTTCCAGACAAAAGATAGTCTTGGTGAAGTTTGTCCCTGTTACATCTATAGACAGGTGAGAGAGGAAGGAAAAAACAAACAAACAAACAACAACAACAACAAAAAACAGGACATTGATTTTAAAAACATTATTTTTTGTATTTCAGAGGTCAGCCTTCTAAAAACATTTTAAAAGGCAAATACTGGTTTCATAGGATTAAAAGCTAGGTCTTGGGATTTTCTGAAGCTCTTATCATAATTGTAAGATTTGCCTTTCAGCATTATTTAAAATCCATTCTGAATTAAGCTGATAGAGGATTAGGATAAGGAGAGTTTGTTGTATCTAATGTATTAAAGAAACAAGTAACCAGAGGCTGAAAATAGCAGAATAGTTGTATATTGAACAGTAACACGTCAAAGGCTTGACACAAAGCCTCTTCCTTCTGCTCAAGGTAAATATTCAGGGATGTTGGAATGGGCTGATTTTAGTTACGTCTGAAAAAGACAGACTTCTAGATCCAGGCAGCTGAGTGGGCTAATATTTCCTGCAGACAAACTGAAATATATTTGTGGCATTAAATACAAGGCATTTGTGTGTCTCTATAGAGACAGACCTGCAGCACAGATTGCCTTTTGGAGAGGATATTCACTATGCTCTGTTCTACTGGGAGGTGGGGGGATCGTTCATATCAGTGCAGTGTGCTGGCACCTGATCCACCATCACATTCTCTTCTTCGGGTCTGAGATAAAACCAGCAAACTTCAGCGTTCGATATAAGACAATAACTCTGAGATTAACAAGACATGTTAACAGCAGAGAGGAAGCAGTGGGGAGAATCAATAGTTTTAAAATTAAGTGAAGTTTTTATGGGTCTTCTGTCTGCTGTGGGTTCTTGTTATCATCACCTCCCAAAGGTTACCACTTGATCATGTTCAGGTGGAAACCATCACCACTTGGTTTTGGTTTGAAGGGAAAATGGATACCATCCACTGAATGCTTTCCTAGGTGATTCCCTGGAAGCATTCCAAGAAATCTTGAAGTAATCAGACATCACATGCCAAGAAGCAGAAATGTGAAATGTTTACGAGTATGTATAAGAACAGCAGAGGAAGGCCTGAGCTTGTCCTATGTGAGTGGAAGGATGGGGAGAAAAGGTTTATATCACTAAGGAAAAATCAAGCACCAAGATTCTGATGTAAGCTTCTTAGGTAAGTGCTCATCATTAGGTGTGCCTATTGACTGTGTCACTGTTGGTGCTGGGCCTGTGAGCTTTCTGGTGAGTCATGTGCCTGGGAAAAAAAAAAAAAAAAAAAAAAAAAGATAATTTGGAAGAGGCCCCCAGAGATCATCTGATCTAACCTTCAGCTTGAAGTAGGGCTAGCTCCTGTGGTAAAACAGGTTGCTCAGGGCCACGTCCAGTCAAATCTTGGAACATCTCCAACTATGGGGCTTCCACAACCTGGTAGGGCAACTTGTTCCTGTCCTTGAGTACTCTTAGTGAAAACGTTTCCATTATCAGAATTAAGTTTGTTGCAGTGTGTGCCATTGCCTCATTTTTTTTTTTTTTGCTGTGTCACGGTCAGAAAAGTCTGGCTCCAGCTTTGCTCTAACTCCATTTAGAGAGTGGAAGACTGCAGTCAGCCTCCTTTTATCTAGGTTAAATAAGCCTCTCCTCATACATTACACAGTTCAGCCCTCTAGCTGTTCAGGTGGCCCTCTGGCCTCTCCCCAGTTTGTCAGTAACTTTCTTGAACTCAGGAGCCAAACCCAAGAAGTGGTATTAGAGGTGTGCTGAGTAAAGAAGAGTAATCCATTCTTCCCACCCACTGGCGATGCTTTTAATGCAGTCCCACCTGTGGTCAGCTGTTTTTGCCACAGGAGCACACTGCTGGCCCACGTTCAGCTAGTCCACCAGTTCCATAGGTGCTTTTATACTGAGCTGCTCCCCTTCATGTTACTCACACTACCCTTCACCGAGGACCCCAAATACCAAAGGTGAGAGTCCTGTTCTGCCTATTTTTCTACCCGTGACATGAGATTATGACTGTGGGATTTAGTCTTTTACATTTCAGCAGCATATGTGGAGACTACACAGTTAGCTCAGGGAGCACAGCAGGCTGTTAGAGGCCTGCGCTGCTAGGGACTGGATCCAGTGACCCGTGTGATTCCAACGGGTCCTTTCTTTTCATTTAGCACATCAAGCCACTGCACGTAAAGGTTATCTTTCTTCATAAGTCAAAAATGATGGCATACTGTGTTGTAAAACTGTATTAAATCATGGCACCAGCATTCTCTAGGCCAGTCACAAGTTAAAAGTGTAGATCAAAAAAGAAATCAATTATTTATTCTCAGAAATGCATATTTTCAGTTTAAGAAAAAAAATGTTGCACTTCAGCTTCACCTCATTCTTTCAGCTGGTCTGTGTTGTACATACTCCAGATAAGCAAGTTCATTCCAAAACACACCCAACGGATTTTTTCTTTCTCAAGGGCATGAGTTGCAAGTGAATGTATTTTTCCCTAGCACTATACCATTTGCTTAATGATTACCAGTAAATAAATACTTTTTTTTTTTTTTTTCCCTTTATTCAGGGCCACAGAAAGCTGAGAAGTATTAGAAAAGGCAAGGTAGACTGAATGTATGGGAAGGTGTTTTATTCACCAGCCCTAACTACATAATGTATATATTTGTAATATGCTCACCCTGCTCCATGAGCTTGGCTTATCTATAGTAAAGTTAGCTGCTGCAGTCTTATGATGATGTGCGAAACTTTCAGAAACAACTGTTTTGAACAAAATCTTGAAAATATGAACAGTAAATGGTTCTAAATTCAGCAGATAAATCTAAAGAACCCAATTTCTTTCATAATACCATAGCCTTAAAGTAGTGTCATAACTCAGACACCTGACATACGTTTTGAAGCAGTTGGTAAGTAATAATACTCTGTGCCCCTAGCAATTCATCTTTCTTTAAAACACCTCTTTAATAGAGCAGAGTAGCTTCTTTTCTTGCAAAGAGGAGACCTACAGCCATGAGCTGCCAGTAATGTGAGTGCAATACTTTTTAGTGTGTGTAAGGAACATAAAGAAAAAGCCATGGCTGTTTCCTCTTGTTAGCAATCTGCCACTGCCAGCCAGTTCTGCTTAATATCCACAATCATCTGTGCACAAGCTGGGAAGCAGTTTCACCATTTGGTCTTTTCCCTTGAAAGCAGTGAGTGAATTTCTAGCCCTCCTCAAATATGTGAAGTAACTTGAGTGCTCAGGAACATGCTTATCTGGTAGCACAGTTCTTCCCAGAGGTCTTCTTGCAAGCAGATGATGCTGATTGTGCAGCAGGTGCCTAGAAACTACCAAAGACGAAACAGCCCTCACCACAGTTTGTGACTTGGAGTGTCAGGTGATATCTAGTGTTTGAGGATGAAAACACAAAGTCTTGCACTTACTCTGAACTTATTTCTCACTGTTGAGTTATACATCCAGTTCCTGTACAGCAGCAAACATGCCACTGTGACCATCAGTCTGTTTGTCTTTGCGTGGAGAGCACTGCTGACTTTAAGCTAGCTAAGCTTAAGCTTATAGGCTTAGACTTAGCTTCATATTTTATCCTACAGGTTAGCTGCTTATCAAGTCTTCTATCAGTCTTCTATCTAAGGCTTTCTGCTAAGGCTATCAGTGCCAAACATCTGGGTTAGGGATGTTAATGTAAGCTGACAGTCAGGTACTGATATTTGCAATAAGCAATTAATCCCTTAAGCACAAAGGAATTTTCTGTCAGTTAAATTTGCTTATTACAGTTTCCCTGAAAGAATGATAAAGTTGATAGGACATGGCTTATCTTTCACCAAAATTTCTTCTCACGGTCCCAAGACTCACCTCTTTTTGCTGTCTGGATTGTCAGCCTGCATGACACGTCATTCCCACATTAGGGTTCATCTCTTTGAAGCTGTGGTTTTCACGTGCTAGTCAGCACTAGACAATACAGCAATCAGTCAATATGGATTTATATGAATCAGCCAGGCATTACGGCTTTCTTCCCTATGCAGTTACTTTTTTCTATGCAGTTTATAAAAAAGCATGCCCTGTTAGTGTGGCAATACAGCCCTCATTTAGTTAATGTATCTTCACATAGGTAAAGGACCCTTAGGCAAGGGAGTAAGAAAGGCCAACTGTAAGGGATGAAGGAAGAACACAGGGTTTAATGCTGTTCCATTTTCTTTTTTCTTTGTTTTTTTTCTTTTTTTCTTTTTTTTTCTTTTCTTTTCTTTTTTTTTTTTTTAAGGAAATGAATGACAATCACAAAATGAGAGAAAATTTGCATTGACTGTGCTTTACAGAAAGTACACCGAATGTAAGTATAACGGCAAATCTAAACTTACTTAGTACTGGAGAGAATTTTAAATGGTGGTGGATTTTGAACTTAAAATAATTAACTTACTTCTCAGGATGAGCTGGAAGGCATTTTTTTACTGTTGACCACTGTGTCAACTGTGTTTTGTTTCCACTTTCTGTGCTCGAGTGAGAGATGTCAGCTCTGGAAGATGCCAGCCTGCCACTCCAGGAGTGTTTTTTCCTCCAAATGTGTATGGAAGCTTGTTTTACAGCACCAGTTTCCTAGAGCAGCTGAAGTCATGGCAACTAACAATATACATAGTGCTGCTTGCCTTGCTGATCCTGCTGAGAGACACAGCAGTAATAACTCTGATGCTCCCAAAAAAACAAGGCCATTTCAGCAGTGGCAAGTCATGTGAACTTTTTAAAGTGTCCAGCCATAAGAGAGTACGAGACACTTAACATAAAGAGCTCTTAAAGTCTGATTTTCACTGGGAAATATTTCTTCATGTAATTTAGGCAAAGCAAGCTATCAATCATGTAAGGAGTACATGGGCCTGGAGCACTGACTGCCTGTGAGTGGACTGCAGTGCTTCTTTGCAGGCATTCAGTGGGATTGCTGACATGAGTTGTCATAGATATTATGAGTGCTCTTAGCTATTACAAGTGATGTTAAAACAGAAGTGGATTAACAAAAGTCAGGTAGGCTTTATGGCCTTCTCCTTGTTAACAGCAGGTCAACGTTTGTTTACTAGTCTCAGTTCTGACTGTTGGTGGTAAGATGTTTAGGTTGGACATCAGGAGAAATTTCTTCTCAGAAAGAGTGGTCAGGCATTAGAACGGATTGCTCGGGGAGGTGGTAGTGTCATCATCCCTGGGGGTGTTCAAGGAAAGGTTGGACGTGGTGCTTAGGGACATGGTTTAGTGGGTGATACTGGTGGTGGTTTGATGGTTGGACCAGATGATCTTGGAGGTCTTTTCCAGCCTTAATGATTCTGTGATTCTATGTTTGTCTCTGAGAAGACCAGCAGGAGTGGACATCAGGTGTCTTTCCTCTTCTCAGTGCTGTATCTGTGCTGGGGCTGACAGCCTACCACTTAATCCCTAGAAGTTTCTGTTGTCATGATTTCATGCAGTATTTCCTGGTATCTTGTTGTCTGACTCGAGTGTCATCTCCAGCTCAGAGACAAAGGACAAGAAGTCACAAGTCTGACAAAACAGCGTAAAAGATGCCGCAAAAGTACAGGATTTACCCCAAATACTAGGTAAATCCTTGACTGTGGTGGCTGCTAGGACCATTCTTTCAAATCGAATGCTTCTTCTGTTTGACATTCCTGTGTTGAAGGCACATCCCCTGCACTAACCAAATGAAGCAGATACCTATGCAATAGGAGAACAGAGCACATTCACTTGATATTTTTAATCAGTATTTTTTTTCCCCAGTGCTTTATCAGGTCTATTTATTGGTATTTTACCGAGATGCGTGATTTGTGTTTGCTATTTTGCCTCTGCAGAAAGATGAATTTCTGCACATTACAGGCTAGCACAGCAGTGAAAGATGGCTGGTGAACAGTGGGTCAGTAACATAATTAATGGTTCAATGCCTTCCTAGAACTGGAAGTTTCTGCTTCTGATGCCTTCATCTTGGGGGAATATGTGGTTTTCTATCATTTCCATTTTATGCAGTGGAATGAGAACCTGTGAGAATTCCAAAAAATCTCTGTGTTTCTGATATTTTAAGTGACTTTTGTGAGAACAACTAGCATGAATTTCATCAAGGAAAGAAAATTTCAGTTTAAATGTCACCTACAGCATAATTCAGACCCTCACACTGATGCAGGACTTCACCTGGAAGGTTGTTGCTCTGCTGTCACTCTCACCGATGTCTGCAGAAGCCAATGCTTTTGTGCTTTTCCATGAGTTTACTCTTAGGTTCCAACCTACCTTATTAAGTTGTCCCTACTGTATTCTTCCCTTGAGATGGGATCACAGAATCACAGAATTTCTAGGTTGGAAGAGACCTCAAGATCATCGAGTCCAACCTCTGAGGATGAAGCTGTACTTTTTCTTCCTCTCTGAGGATTAGTATTCTCAAGAAGACTGCACTTTTCCTCCATGCCTTTTTCATATTAAAAATTCAGGGTTGCTTTGCAACATCAGCACCACCATGTGTTCCTCTTCTGTCAGTAGTCTGAAAGCTGTAACTGGAGACGGACCTCTCCCAGACCCTGTGAAAACCATTTGGAGTCTAGGGTTGTGAGAACCAGTTACTTCAGCACTTCTTTAGTAGATAAATTCATATACATTTGATTTATACATATTAATTTTTCTTGCCTACATCTGATTCTTGCATGTGATTTATCCTGTTCAAGTTTTGGAAGGTACAGAGGTGATTTTTCACACAGGCAGAGCATAAATAAGTGGCCATTTGCTTCTCTAGTCCTTGAAAGAAAGATTGTGTTATTTAGGCTTAAATAAATCATCCAGATGTGTGCCTGTATCTTTTGAGGTGCATTTTGCCCTTAGAATTCTTCAGCTAAAGGAGCACCATCAGGCTGCATGTTTCAGGAAGGCTTCTTTAAAGAAGAAAAAAAAATCATAAACATAACTATAGTAATGTATATGGTACATAAATCACTTAACTATAACTAGCTGTTGCAAAAATAATAAAACTACCCACACAAACAAAGCAAAGAAAACATGTAAAGGAGACTGAATCTGAATATGTACAAAATGAAGTTGAAAGCCAAAATAAAAGGGAAGAAGTGGAGATAAAGCAATCTCTGTCTGTAACAGGATTCTGTGGTGTGACTGTAAGAGCAGCACGTGAGTGTGTATATATATATTTTTTTTTATATGTGGTACAGAAGTGACAGTACATGACCTTGATTTATGCAGTTATTCCAAATTATCTCTGTCCAGTTGTTTGTGTCCCATACCCCTCTCGGGAGTGGTACTGGATGCTCCTTCTCTCTCTCTCTTTTTGCAGTGTTTCCAGGAGTTGAGTTTTCCCCTGCCAAAATACTGCCCTATTTGGGATCTTCAGAGGATGTATCCAAACAAATCTGACTGCTGTGAGTATTTTTGTGTTTGACACAGATTTTCCCAAGCAAGAGAAAAAGTGTGCCAACAGATGCAGGCCATGTGCTCAGCTTCCCCTGGGCCTGGCCAGGAGGCTGTAGGCACACTGGAGGGGCACCAAGGAGAGTCCAAAAAATGTCACTGCCCCAGCCCCTGTGGTAGATTGCAGAGCCAGACCTTGTACTGGGTGACAAAATCTTCCAAGACTTTCTGGAAGCCTGTGCCAGCCTGTGAGGGTGAGCTAGGTGAGTTACCATGGTAAGTGAGAAGTGATCCATCTGGGAACAGACAAGTGTTTCCCTTTTCCCAGATGCGTTCAGCTGGCTACAGGATGAGATACCCTTTGATTTAAAGTCAGACTTAATGATTTCTTGTGGAACAGCTTTCCATGTTCTGAGGCTACTAAATGTGCTAATATCTGAAGCTCAGAGTAGGAATTCTGCGACAGCAAAAAGAAATGTAACTCTGCTTCTGTTAACCCCAGAATTCTACTGTCTCAATAAAACAACAGAAAAATGTTCATAATACTCAAACAAGGGGAAAATCTTCCAGGTCTGTTCATATGCTGCTCCCATATCATGGTGCAAGAGAACTGTCTAGTTGTGAAATTACAGTCTCATTGTGGGGCTCTTTCAGAAGACGTCTTTGCATTGGCATTGCACAAGGCTTGGACTCAAAGGTTACTATTGTCACGGGAAGGGACAGACTTGGTGCAGGGATGGGCACTCAGCCACGTGGTAAGCACCATTTTGTTCCTGCCTGGTGTAGCGTTGTCTGTGACCCTTGAACAAAGGTGGAGAAGCCTGAATCTCCTATATTTGAATTTCTTTGTCATCAACACAGCAAAAGGCAGAGATTAACCTTTTATTCCACTGATTTATCCTTCATATGCCACAAACTATAAATTATCTGCCTTTTTCCTTGCAGATAGTCCCTTATAATTTCCTCCTGCCTGCTGACTTACCCTTAGAATGTCCTTCTGTATCACAGATACCATCTATTTTCTCTCAGGTGGTCTCATTGGTACAAATCTAACTAAATTTTCGAGCTGTTGTTCTCAGTTGGGATTTATTTTTTCAAGTCTGCTGCTTCTATTTTGGACCTAGAAAAGGAGTGATGTACTTGAAAGCTTATTGATTTTTCCCAGCTAGATGAGTGGGTGTCATAACATAGGTCTGCCTATAAAACTAATTTTGGTCGTATCCTTGGATACATCAACAATACTATTTTGTTATTTCTTCTGGGATAATTTATGTCTGCCAGTATTATTCAAATATCCCAGCAATAGCTAGTAGTGATGGAGAGAGTTGTGCTGGCCTGTCAGCAATGTTCCTAAACTTCATCGGGGGAAAATCTCAGGCAGTTCATGTTCTGAAAGAGACTGTGTTATCATAGCGATGTGTTATTGTTATGAAGTTGCCACAATGTAGTTATTTTTTTATTCAGGGTCTTAAAAAGAAAAAACAAACAAACAAACATATGTATTCCGATAGAGTTTCTGGCACCCAGCCGCCACAGCAGTGGCAGATTCAATTACCTAAATGCTATGTCGGCCTACAGCTGTGCCACATTAGCAGTTTCAGCACAGGCCTCTTTCTTCTTGCTGACTGGGAGATGATGGTAGGTCATAGGAACAGACAGCAATGCCTCTCCAGCAGGTAGTAGGTACTGTCCTGTGTGTCTGCAAAACAGAGCCATCACATTGGTCGTGCTCTGTGATTGCTGGGTGACCACTGAGCCTGAAACATGCATTTCTCTTCCTCTGAGCTTACCTTCCCTGGTGGGAGAGGCAGAGGGGAAGTAGGCCAGTGCTGTTCATCCTCCTTCATGTCTGGATCACCTCCAAGCATTCCCATGGCTCCTTCTGAGGGCACAGGAGTTTACCCAGGGCAGACCACTGACAATGTACGGTCCAGCAGCCAGTCTTAGGCTCCTCCAGGAGCAGCTTTGTGCCTTTTGACAGGCAGGAGAGCTCTCCAGCGCGGGGCTGAGCACATGAAACCCTGCTAACACAGCCCGGCCTGCTGCAGGAAGAACTACAGCCCCTGGAGTTTTTTACTTTTAATCCTCCCCACGCCTTTCACACCTGGGATATTTGCAGTAAAATTGAAAGGTGTTGCTTCTTTTCCCCCTTTTTGGAAAGATATTTATGCATTTCGTCTTTGTTTTGTTTCTTCATAAGCAGCGCAGGTCAGCCGCTGTTGGAGGACTGGCTGTAATTAACCTGTGTGATGTTATTTGTAGCTCTTTTTGAGGAAGGGCTGTTTTGTCTTCATCAGCCCATGAGCCTTATTTTAAACAAACAAACAAAAAAAATAATGTGTAAATGGGATTTTTAAAGGTATTTACTCTTGTCCATGAACATGTCAGGAATGCGAAGTGAATCCTTTTGAGGTGTCAGAGAAATGTTATTTCCAGGTAAACTGAGCATCTCAGTAAAGGCACCTCTGAGCACACTCAGCTCTCCATTGTATGCCAGACAAAAGAACCACAGAATGGTTTGGTTTGGAGGGGACCTTAAAGATCATCTCCTGTGACCCTTCTGCCATTGGCAGGGACACCTCCCAGTAGACCAGGTTGCTCAAATACGCCTGAGATGCTTGGTACTTTGAAGTCTTATCCATGATCTAAGAGAACCTTCTCTTATCTCTTCGTACAGAACAGGAGCCCTTCTGGAGTGTGTTTCTCAAGCCCCTCTAAAGAAGCAGTAGGAGGAGAAGCTTCTGTAGTGTATATGTGCATCTGGAGGGCACCGTGTGTCCTGGGCCATGTCTGAGGTTCTGCAGCATTCCTACGCTACATGTAAAGTTATTGATGAGCTGTGCATCATGAATTATGCTTGAGATAAGAATTGGTCTTTCAAGAGATTTCTAATAGCCTTAAAATCTTACTTCAAAAAACTGCAGAGGTAAAAAAAAATGCATAGCTTAGAGGTATTGGAAGGAAACCAAAAGCAGTATCAATAGCTAGGTGATCGGCTGTGTCTGTTTCTTAAAATAGTTGCCCAGACATTTCTTAGAGCACAGCCAGGAGGAAGGCTGGATCTTGTGTTTGTCACCTCAGTTAACGCTACAGATAGGGTGAATTCTAAGAAAGTGCCTGCATTCAGGCTAAAAGCATTCATTATTTGTGAACAATGCTTCAAAAAACAGGTGTTCTGAATTTTCTGAACACTTTTATCAAAGTTGTGGAGTAAAGCTATGAATGCTCTCAAAATATCTATGAATGTATTTGGGAAGTATTTAAGTTACAAGCTAGTTTATTCATTTAGAAGTAACTTATCCCATGGATTGAAATTGAGTTCTAGTCAAAATATTTTGTATCTAAATATTTTCCTTTACACATATATTATGTTAGTGCTGTGACTTTCTCCTGAGTGTATATTTTAAATGTTTTTTATCTAAATACTTTTACATTTTATAAAAATGTTTTATTTGTATATCTTTAAAGGTACTTAAATGTAATGCATAAATACATTTGAAAATTTATATATTTAGCAACAATATTTAAAAATATTTATATTGAATTTATAGTAAGCATTTTTAATAGTTATATATTTTATTTATATTTCAAAGTAATGTTCAAGAACAGTTTTTCAAATGTATTGACAAAAGCATTAATGGTCAGGGCCTTAATCAGAAGGGAGTATTTACTGGAGTTCACTGGTTTTGTGTAGTTAAGTTTTTTAGAAAAAATACATATAGATTTAACTCAACAAAGAGAGAATCTATAAAGTAAATCTTTAATTTGCCAATTGGTTAATAAATTGCTAGAACTAATTATTGAGAACCACTTCTGTGAAGACATATTAACTCTCACACAAAATCACCCAGGTATCCCTCTCCCAGGTGTGGGAAGGGGCTGAGCCCTGGGTGCCTGCACAGGGTCTCGCCAGCCTGGAGCTGCTGCCTTGGTGCTGGAGGAGCTCCCTCCTCACTTCATAATCCTGGAGCTACCCCAGGGACAAGCCCAGGGACTTCTCCATCACTTGTTTTGGCACAGGCCACTGGGTTTGGGATGTGCTGGCCCAGCAGGTAAGAGGGATCAGGTGAGGAAGGTTGTACTGAGTGTTCTGGGAGTAAATCTCTTATCAGCCAAAGCACAGCAAGGAGGGGAGCAGGATTGCTGCTGGAAGAGCTGAAGGGAGTATCGACTCATTGCTGTTTTGGGATGTGTAGGATTACAGGCCTCTGTGGGGTAGGAGCTCCCTTTGTTATAAGGCTGCAGTACAATGGCATAGAAGCAGTAAGAAATAAAAACTGTATCAACACCTTTCAGGTCTCTAACGAGTGCTTTAACTGAGGAGGCCATAAAGCCTAACTCATTTTTGCATCGCAGGTACGATGCAATCCCTCTCCTGGAGAGCACTTGCATGCTAGAAGATTGCTTTAAAGCAATATAAATGGCTCTTAGTTAAAACCTCAGCATGGTTTCAAAAGGGAGAGGCCAGAAGGGAGGAATCACCTTCAGTAATCCCACCTTCACCTTCAAATTCAATAATCCCCATTTTAAGGTGCATCCTATTGCAATTTACTGCTGAGTAAAAGAGATACTTACAGTTCTGACATTTAGTTTCCACTGATATTTCAAAATAAATACAATATATTTTATGAAACTTTTTTTTGGAAGTTTATTTTTATTTTATATGATAACTGACTCCAGATTTGAAGAATATATTTAGCAATGACTGTAATTTTCACTTCTCTAGAAGAGGAATACTAATTTATGGCTTGTGTTGAAGAAATGCTTACGGCTGGGGATTTTTTTTTAACTGAGATTTGGACTCTGTAAAGGCTGCTATAGATTGGTGCTTTGCCTGGGGAGAGTCACATCAAAACCTCTGTTTGGATTCTGTCACAGGCTTTTTGCAAAGCCTAATCATCACACACAGCTGTATTGAAATTCAATTGGATGCAAATCAGCTGTTTGTATTTGTGCCCCCACCTAGTTCACCTTCCAGCATACATTTTCAAGCAGCATTTAGGATGTATGTGCATGGAAAGTCCCTAACTGAACTGATCCTGAAAACCAGTATCAGAAATCCTGCCTAAACAAATTATGAGATCTGCTGAGCATGGGCAAGCTGAAAGGGGCTTGCAGGAGGTGTCTACTTGGCCCCACCCTAAAAACACCCATTGCCTTCCAACCCAGCAACTAAGGGAGTAGAAGATAACTGCATCCTGTATCTGTGATGGGTGCATGGCTTGTAGGTATGCATAATGAAGGCACAGACGCATTGAAGACAAGCTGTTTTGCCAGTGATTATTGCTGACAATGTTTATTCTCTCCAGCAGATGGCTCAGCCAGCCTGCAACCAGACACGTCTCACCAGCCCCTGGCAATCTCACCCACAGGTGTGTCATTGTGTCCTTTGTGCATTATTCTAGATTGGCTCCATTGAAATCAGCTTTGTTTAGATTATGTGGAAAAGTAGTTTTTACACAGACCCAACTGAATATTCATTACTACCTTTGAAAAGCACATTTCTTAAATTTGAAATGTTTCCAGCAATAGTGGTTCTGTGTCAATAATGAATTGATATTATACTGCAGCTGCAGAACTTGTGAAGAGATCATCTCAGGTCAGTAGTGCCTGGCAGATTTATTTTCTGTAATAACAAAGACCAGAATGAAAAGCATATAGCTAATTCAACAATTCTGTTTTATAATATGACAGTCCAAGTGTCTGCTTACTGTTGCTATAAGTTACTGGACTCATGTTATACATTTCCCCTTTCAAAGATCAATACCTGTTCAAAAATAAATATTGTTCTAGATGGAAAGCTGGCCTTCAACAGTACTTGATTTCTGCTTGCTGTCTGCTGCTTCCTGTAAAGCTAGATACACACTGAGGTAAGACTTGAAACCACAGGGTCTGTGGTTTACATTGTGTTGACTTTTCCCATCAGAAAAATCTGTACTGTTAAGATAGCTTATTGGTTTCTAATTCCAAAATACACAATTTCAGTAGTTAATTATGCTTCCCTGTTTCTTTCCCCCTGTAAGTATGTTTCCTTTTTCAAAACCTTACCAATTCAATTTCTCATTTATGTGGATTTAACTCTGTTTAAAGGGAAGGACGCAGTGTTTTAAATAACACATTCTTAAGGAGAAGATGAACTGGCAGGGTGTGACATACTGGCAAACTGATTCACTGCCCTAGCAATTCTCAGCACTGGCATGGTTAGAGGCATAGACAGCAGAGGCAGGAGTGAGGCAGAAGATTACAATTACACAGTAATTTGGGGCTGTGGAAAGTGAAATGGCAGCAACTGTTATCCGATTGACTGCTGTGTGAAAAAGAGGTCAAGTCAGGAGACCATGCTGCACAGGGCCTTTGCTGTCCAGCTCACATCCACAAGCTCCAGAAGCTCTGATCATGAGTGTAGGCTGAGTTTTCCCACAATGTCAGACATCTCGTTCTGGGCTTGGGTTTTGAGGCTTGAATGAATGTATAAAGCTGCACACTGGCTTTATTTATGCAACATCTTAGCCAGGTTCCAGGCACTGGAGTTGTAAATTACATCACATCAAGGCATGAGGGAATATTATAGAAAGCCAGATGGGTCTTGAGAAGTTTATATATTTATTTGTGTACTTCAGTCAAAGATCTTGTGATCTGTAACATCACCCTGGCATAAAAATGTTTCAGACTTCAGACATCATGCATGGTTTGAAGTTAATGCTTCTAAAATGAATGCTTTCTTTTCTTGCAAAACTTAACCATCCCCGTAGAGTGTAGTCTGAATGGAAAAATACATTAATCTACTTATTATTTGCAAAACTTTTGTACATGCAAAACTGAGACTGTGGATTTGTTTCCGTACATTTTTGTAAGTAATTGAATCTCATTAGCTTTTGCTATGGAATCTCACTAATCTGTCCATTGAACCCTATTAAGTATTGATGTTCATTTTGTGAATAGTAAGTGTGAAAACAGTCTCTTGCCATTCTTGTGTAATTTTTACTCGAAGAATCATGAGAACTTAGAGGCAAACCAAATCTGTAAAACACACTAACACCACAAGAGTAAGATATAAAAGCTATTTATTCAAAAAAATGTGGTGGTGTCAAATCACATACACAAGCCAATATTGAGCTACAAACACAGACCAAACAGTTCTATAAACAGAAATTGGAGTGTTCATATACCATAGTACCTGAAAAAGACCGTTAATAAAAAGGAGTCCATAAGTATCTCATCTCACTTTTTCTATATGGCTCCTTGCTGAATGTCTTTGCCTAAGTTAGTGTACAATGAACCAGAGGTAGAGTCCCAAGTAAAGCATCTAATGCCTCAGGGCTCCATTAAAAACCTTTATTCTTCTAAACAAAAGGAAAGCCTAGCCTATAGTTTTCTGTATGACACTGAAGTAAAGCCTCTTTGCTTGAACAGTACGGCATTCCCAAGCGCATTTGGCATTAACCTAGATTGAGACTGTGCTTTGTTAAACCATCTTAGTTTTCTTCCCCTTCAGACTCCGACTCTAGAAGAGAAGAAAGTAAAATATTTAATGTAGTTTGCATAATTCCTTAAAAATAACAGAATATCCTGCCAAAACTCCAGTTAAAATTTTCATCACACCTAGTACCTCCTAGGAAGGGTTGACAGATTAAAGAGAGTAAACCAGAAAGCAATGCACAGCTTCAGAAGACAAAGACCTACACTGTTACACTACACAGGGTAGTTCTTAGTTTAGGGATCTGTCACTAGTTACCTGTTACTATGAGTTGGACTTGATGGTCCTTGTGCATCCCTTCCAACTTGGTAAGCTAGAGTCATAGAACATCCCATGAATGATTCTGGTCCTCATCCGCAGAGCCAACCAACGCATATCCAAGCTGAGTTTAATTAAGAATCAGCATCCTTTGTTTGCTCTTCTAATCTCTGCGTAGGCTGTACTGCTATTATCCAGGAAGCACCCTTTTAACTATTTGCTCTGCAAATATCAGTCATGATCATCATACAGACTACTACTCTACAGCAGGTATGGAATCAGTACAAAAGATATTTTTTTTTAATGATTTGTATAGTATAACATTAATTAGTAATTGAGGAACATGCACAGCGTTTTCGTCACCTAAAGCTACTTTGCATCATATTGCATTTCCGTCTTGGTGTTCACCTGACAGGAAAGGGCTTGTTGACACAAATATAGCAAGTTTGCTCTGAGAAATCTGATCTAACACAATCTGCATATACTAACAGCAATACTTTGCCTTCAGTGGTACTGGACTTCATAACTAAGGAAATCTGGGAGAAGGGACATGCAGAAAAGGGTGAAAAAGAAAAACAGAATGGCATACAAGCAGAAGATTAAAGGGTATAAAAGTGTTTTTAACCAAGATTGCTAGTATACAGTGTGAAAGGAGCTATCATTTTTGTTTTTCTATATGTATACGTGAATTGCTACAAAGACTTACCTGTTCCTTAGCATCACTAAGTTCCCACTAAAAGTCTAAAAGAATCAACATTGCAGGGATGCAAATGAACACTAAGAATTATATCCCTAGCTATTACACATGGATTGATCATCCCAACTGACATGGACTTCCTTTTTGAAGGATGTGAACTTGGCAAAAATGGTAACCTATTTGTTCAGTACGAAGAATAACACATTTATGGACCAAAGAAATCAGTTCCCCTTCCCAGTAACTGTTTTAACACAGTAAACACAAACCACATATTTTAGCCTAAGCATTCATACAGAATGAATTTCAACCACAATGGCACAGGCAGGCTTTTTCTATTATCTATACTGACCACATGAATGGTCAGT